TCTTTATTCACTGTGTGTTCTGTAATCTTTTTGTATGAGTTCCCTGTAATCTGTGCTAATCCCTCAGCATTGGTGTGGCCTGAAATTTGATATGGTGCCACAGGGCTTAGAGGGTTGTGATCCAGCATGATGTTAACAGTAGTTCACCCTAAATGGATTTATTCTAATACGGCTGGCAGATGGTCTGCACAGTGATCAGGCCAATATCAGAGTCGTGGCATAAACACAACTATGGTGCTATAACCTTCCAGTGAAATGAAGCAAAATCAATTGAGGATTTATTCTAACTGTCTAGATCTGTAGTCTGTAACATCGTTGCACGCCGTATTGTCCTCCGGTGTAGCAGCTGCACTGTGGGCTTTTTAAATTGTATCTGCAAGATGCTAGTTAAACAATAAGCACTTGTTTTTGACTTGACCCTCTGCTCCAAACTACTACTATGAGTACATCTTATGGAAGTTTTATTAGAAATACATTTGTATTTAATGTATTAAGAGGAAACATTAACAGATGCTAATGATCATCACTGTCATTTGAATGGTTTTAAATTGAATGGTATTTTTAATGGCTTTCCTAAATCCAACTAATCTAGTCCTTGTCCTAGTGTGACCCAACTCATACTCTCAGCATGTGTCCCCTCTTGACAAAATGCATTAAAATGTCTGCTCATCAGATCTGATCATATACCTCAGAGAGACCTGATGATTTTTGTTTTTATTTTCTTTTTCAGAGATTATGAGTGATGTAATCAAGAAGGTGAAGAAGAAGGGAGAATGGAAGGTGAGTCATTCACGTTTGGGACACAATACCCTGAAATCATTTCAGGTGCAAACCAGAGACCCAAACCAAAAACTGTCATCGTTTTCAATGGTGAACATCCAGGAAAACTGACCAGTGAAGCGAATTGTTTTAGAACTTAGTTTGGATTCAACCCCTGCAGCTTTTTTGTCTTTTGTTATGAAATCTGCAAAGTGGCCTTTGTTGACCTTTACTTATCTTGTATGCTGGGATAATGTATCTTCTACTCTCCAGTGTTTTGGTTGTAGTTTTAAAAAGCGCCAGGACACTGAATGACTAGTCTGTTTTGTATTCACATGCTACATGTGGGGACACAGGTCATGCACAAGAATCATTCATTCAAAAGTACGAAGTGCTAATTTTTAATAAGAATAACAGCTATTAATTATTAATTATTAATCCTTTGGCTAAACTGATGGAAAATGGTGATATTTAGTAATAATGTCATACAGTTGGACAGAAATCTAACATAGTGTATACTGTTCTGGCACTTGCTCCTATTCCAGCCCTGCTCATTTCTGTAAGCAAATGTGAGGGGTGCAGCCAAATAATGCATTTGTCGAATGCTTTCAGGTTCCCAGAATCAGTTTTGATCGAGGGCCGTGCAGTTTTGCTGTTGAGCAATGCAGGATTTTCACACAAAATATAGCACGTTTTTATTTTCATAGTATTTTATTAAGAAAAGTATTTAATAGCATTAAAATCAACAGGAAAAAAAACTAAAAATTAACATAAATAAAGATTCGATCAAACTGAGATATAAGCAATGCATGAAAAAATACTAAAAGGTGCAAGTAAAACTGAAACTGTGCATAGCCTGTGAGCATGTTTTGATAAGGTAGGTGCAAAAAAAGTTAGTTGTTTCATCAAACCAGAATCACTAAGCTTCATGGGAGCTTGGATCTAAAGGAGGTGAAAGAACATGCCTGAGTTACTAATGAATGCAACAAACACAAAGACCTTAATTCAGTTTGTTTGTCACAGGTGTGAACATTAAAATTAATAATTGACCTCAGTTAAATGCATGTGCAAGCTTCACACAGTTACATTCATACCAGTGAATGTCAAGTAAATCAAAACTCAAAATGTATTTACAATAGTGCTTTATTTGAATGAGGCAGTTTCATGTAGTTGCTGCCGTTTCCTGTCCTGCCAGGCGCTGATAGTGGACCAGCTGAGCATGAGGATGTTGTCGTCCTGCTGCAAGATGACAGACATCATGACAGAGGGCATCACCAGTAAGGACGGTCATGTCTACCCTCTCTCTGTACTGCTTTTGTGCTTTTGTATGTGTGCCTCTGTAACCGTGGGCATGTTTGTTTCAATTCCCGTAGTTGTGGAGGACATCAACAAGCGACGAGAGCCTCTTCCCAGCCTGGAGTCCATTTACCTGATTACACCCACAGAGAAGGTTAACATGTTCTTCCTCTCCCATTTGCAGTGTGTATTCGGAGCTGTGTGTTGTGTATTCAGTAAAGTGTAACAGTTACGGTGAGGCCCAGAGGAGTCTTATTCTGAAAGGGCTCACTTTTTTTTCTTTTTTTTTTTTACTGAAGTTTGCTGAATCCACACTATGTCATTCTGTCACTTTGTTTCATTCATTTAAACTTTATGGGTGTGACATTTTAAGGAAAGGTTTCAGAAATAATTTTTTCATCCAGTCATTTAAAAAAAAAAATTAGCTCAAGCTGTCATCCAGTTAATGTAAAAGCTTTTTGCAGTATATTTTTGGCCTAAACATCAAGGCAATAAAGCTTAATGGAATTTGCTGTACACATCCATGCAGCAGTCAACACACTCATCTAAACACTTCAACCTGACTTCCTGTTCTCTTTCTTCAGTCTGTCCACACCCTCATTGCAGACTTCAAAGACCCTCACTCATCTAAATATAAAGCAGCCCATGTTTTCTTCACCGACTGTGAGTATGTACATGACTCGTAGCATTATGTAATGGACCTTGCTCTTTGTACAGAAGAAGAAGCAGCAGCTTTGGGTGGTGTTTGATTTATTGCATTTTCAGTGATTGTTGTTTCTTGTTCCTGCCTTTTCCAGCCTGCCCTGATCCTCTGTTCAATGAGCTGGTGAAGAGCCGTGCTTCCAAAGTCATCAAGACTCTGACGGAGATCAACATCGCCTTCTTGCCCTACGAGTCTCAGGTGAACATCCAGCTTGTGTTTTGGACTTGTATAATGATAGCTGCTGTGCTGCTGTTAGTGAACCTCACTCATGAGTCATGGTGACTAAAGCTGTGTATCTTCTGTACTGTTCTTCTCACTGACTTTTATGGCTCACTGTAGAAGCTGAAACCAGGCTTCTGGGCATGTGTCCAGTTTCACAGTGTCTGAGATATATAAAAGAGAGCCATGTACAAATGCCCCTCGTGCTGAACCTGTGCAGCATTTTACGTGTCCAGTGCCTGCCCTGTTGCCCCCTTCTTGCCATTATTCACCTCTCTTTTTTTCCTCAACCGTGAATGAAGGCTGCTTCACTTTTACTGTTTGTTAGCGGCTGTGAGTGAAAACCAGAGACAAAGATCCAGAGAGCAAGAGATCGATTAGGACAGGTGGGAGAGGAGAGATGCTGCAAAGGGCACAGACAGAAATAGTAACAGCGAGGTTATGGGTTGTTAGAATCAGGGATGGATACTGTAACTAGAGACGAGGAGAGAGAAACACAAATACACACTCGGGTACAATGGCACAGTGCTGCTGACTCACCAGTCATTCAGTTCACTGTCCGACTGTTCCAGAAACATTCAGGCTGGTCACATTGCCCTCCCTCCCTCCTACCTGCTTGTCTGCCCTTGCTAAATATCCAAATTCCTGCCTCCATCGTGTTTTTCCTCACCCCTCCCTCTCACTCTTGCTTAGTCTGTTTTCTATCCCTGTTTTTTATCCCACCATTCCTTCATCCCCGCATTTGCACATCCGCATTGCTTGTACTCTCTCTGTTCACATCCCTGCATCAAGGTTTTTATTTTTATTTTTTAAATTTGTATTTAATTTCTCCTTTCCTCCACCATATTTTTCCCAAGATGCCCCCCCCCCCCACCATCCACCCATTTCCCCTTTCTCTATCTGTCCATTCTTCTTTCTCTCACTGTGTGAAGATGCTGCGTGGCCCACAGTGCCTTGCTACTCTCCTGTCCTCTATGATTAATTCAGAGTCAGTGGTTTTCTGCTCCAGGCGAAGTGCTGCCTCATAGCCCCATCCATGGGCTTATTCTCTCACCCTATTGGATGAGTCAGGATCCACAGAGGAGACGCTAGCCAATAGTTGCCGGGCTAACGCAGGGACCCTCCTGTAGCGCATAAGTGTGGTCATGTGATTGCGAACAGATGGGGTGGGAGGAGGCAGTGGTGGCGCTTGATGCAGGAGAAGAGATGACAGAGGAGAAAGCAGAGGAGAGGAGATGAGCTGAGGAGAGGAAGCAAATGAGAGGAGAAGGAGAGGAAATAAAATGAGAGGAGGGGGAAGGAGGGAAAACAGGGCAGGAAGTGAGAGGAAAGTGGACAAGGAGAGAAGGTGAGAAGAGACAAGAAATGATGAGGGAAGCAAGGAAATGAAAAAGGAGAGGAGGAAAAGAAAGGGAAGGGAAACAAAGAAACAGGAGGAGAGGTAACAGGATGAGGATAAGATCAGTAGAGAGGGAGAGGAAACAAGGACATTAAAGGAGAGGAAAAGGGGGGTAATAGAAGAGAAGAGGAGAGATGTTCACTGCAGCAGTCAGACACTGATACTGAAAATCTTTCATCATGATCAAATCAGCTTTTGCATCATGGAGTCTGTTCCTGACTTTAAAAGTCACACAGCAGCAACATGTAACTAATGCAGATGACTGTGCACATTGCATTAGAACAGGAGGTGTAGATACATTGAAAAGCTTAAACTAAAGGCAAAAAAATGTTCTATTGGAGCAAAGTTAAAATGTCTGCGTGTCTGCGTGCAGGTGTACTCTCTGGACAATCCGGATGCCTTCCACAGTTTCTACAGCCCACATAAGACCCAGCTGAAGAACCCAGTGATGGAGAGGCTGGCTGAGCAGCTGGCCACGCTCTGCGCCACCCTGAAGGAGTACCCTGCTGTCAGATACCGAGGGTGAGCAGCAGGGGGAGCTAATGAGACGCAGGCCTGGGTGCAGGCTACTTTCCTAAACAAGCAATAAAGGAAAGTGTGTATTTGGACAAATGAAATGTTAAAGCCAGCCAGAGGTGGCACAGCAACATAAAAAAAACCTTGTTGTCCAATAACACATATTAGTTGTTATTAACAGTAATAGTAAGTTTGTATTCTGCATCAGTGTGCATACATCCTGATATGTTGCTACACTAAAAACAACTATTTAAACAACTTTTTAAATGGTTATCCAATAGACAGTAATTCTCATAGCATATTTGCCAAAATTAGTTTCCCCTTTGTGATCAGTGAGTGCACTCCAGACCCAACCAGCACTGTGACAGTTTGGGACAGATAAGCTTGTGCTGGTCTGAGTCGACAACTTGTGCAGCAGGTCAAAAAATAACGTGGAGTCTGAGAGAACAGTAGAGGCTGGTAAACATATCGTGGCAAACGAACATTTGCTTGAACATCTGATTTGTCTTCCTCTCCTCTCCTCTTCATGTTTATCTGCCTTCTTGCCCTTCTGTGTAACTCAAAATGCTTCTGTCCATTTGTCCGCCTGTCCATCCTTCTGTCAGTGAGTACAAGGACAATGCCACCCTGGCCCAGCTGGTTCAGGACAAACTGGATGCCTACAAGGCTGATGACCCCACCATGGGAGAGGTGAGCACAGGGAAGTTGTGTTGTCCCTCCAAAATGCTGCGTTTTGATGTTCTGTTTTTACCTGTTGTTTCATTGAATAGCAGCACAGCTAAATTCTACATATTACTGCAAAATGATACTATGTTTATCTTATTGCTTCTTCGGTTCCTGTATCTGTTTGTTTCTCTCCCTCCGTCTCTGTAGGGTCCAGATAAAGCTCGTTCACAGCTCATCATCCTGGACAGGGCGTTTGACCCTGTCTCACCTGTCCTGCATGAGCTCACCTTCCAGGCTATGGGCTATGACCTGCTGCCCATCGAAAACGACGTATACAAGTACAAAAAACACAAATGCCAAAACACAAATGATTGCTTGTGGAGGCTGTGTGTAAATGCTGACCCTAACCCTGTAGAAATATTTATATAGGTTCCAATTTGAATCTATTTCTCTGGTCACATCACTCTTCTTCAGGTATGAGACCAGTGGCATCGGAGACTCCCGTGAGAAGGAGGTACTGCTGCATGAAGACGATGACCTGTGGGTGAGCCTCAGACACAAACACATAGCTGAGGTGTCCCAGTGAGTATTTTCCTTCCTACTTCATATATCCCATTACGCATTGCGCTGAATTAAGTGATATAATAGCGTTTCTCTTATGTGTTACTGGTGCTACTTTGCTGTTTGTCTTTTGTCATTAGGGAAGTGACACGCCAGCTGAAGGAGTTTTCTTCCAGCAAGAGGATGAACACCGGAGACAAGGTAAAAAAGGAGGCTGCTAAAGGAGATGTTGATCAGTTGACACACAAAGTCTGAACATAGACTACTGCTAAGATATTATAGCTGTGGTGATCTAATATAATGGTTAACTTGTTCAAAAACTACTTTTCCCCCCTCAAAATGGAGACCAATTCCTTTCAATATATTCAGAAGATGGAGCCAGAATTTTAATTTATTCATTTATATGGTCAGCATCACTTGGTAGAGGAAACTAAATGAATCCTGAGGTTTCTAATTTGGGGTTTTCATCTGTTGTTTCCATCTGTAGCAAAAGGGAAAACTTGGAAGCAAGTTAAAGCTACAGTATGTAACCTAAGGTAGCACTAGCATGAAACTCCAGATCGGTCCGATCTGCTCCGCCCAGCGCTCCCTCTCCATGCTCTGTTATGCTCTATTATGATCTGCTATGCTCTGCCCAGCTCTTCAGATATTTGTTATCGTATTACAATAAATGAAAATCTCTGATTGGTTAGAGAGGTCAGCCCTGCTCAAAACCTTTGAGAAGCTAATGTCTCTGCACTGCTGCCAGTGCTATTCAATGAGTCCAGGTCACAGGAGGCTTCGACAGCACCTTTCCACATTATGCTTCACAAGTTTTAGAGCATATTTCTACACAAATATATGACAACAGTTACATACTGTAGCTTAATTAAACTTTAAATTCATAATACAGTATGATTAAATTAGATCAAATCTAGTTATCAAAAACTTTAGGACAGTACTGCTTAATGTTTTGAGTTCTTTCTAAATTCACTGTACTTTTACTTTTGAAACTAAGCAAAAAATGTTTAGTGGCAACTGTTCTATGATCCGACCGAGGTCTACTATCTAATAATGTGCCGTTAGTACACCTTTATTGTGCATTAGCATATGAATGTGTCTTGGTTTTTTCTCCATAGACTACAATGAGGGACCTGTCCCAGATGCTGAAAAAGATGCCTCAGTACCAGAAGGAGCTCAGCAAGGTGTGTGTTCATCCAATATGCATGTTTTGTTCCATGGGTGTGTGTGTACGCTAAATCTGTGTGTTTTGTCTTTTTCAGTACTCCACTCATCTGCAGCTGGCTGAGGACTGTATGAAGCATTACCAGGGAACAGTGGACAAGCTGTGCCGCGTAGAACAGGTGAGATGAGGATGGAGACAAAGGAGGAAACTGTCAGAAATTAGCATACAGTGCATTTAATATAATACTGTCGCGTAGACTTGGACAAAATGTTCTTGCACCCAGATGACTTATGCACTGATCTGCTTGCACTCTCAGTACTGTTCTTGACAATAACATGCATTTCCAATCTCCAGAAACATGTATTGCCTTGTGTTAGATGACAAATGCTGTATGAAATCTGAGTTCTCTGTTTTCAGGACCTGGCTATGGGAACGGACGCTGAGGGCGAGAAGATCAAAGACCCCATGAGGGCTATTGTGCCCATCCTGCTAGATGCCAACGTCAGCACATACGACAAGATCCGCATCATCCTCCTTTACATTTTCCTCAAGAATGGTGAGGAGGAGATTACAGGCGACAAACAAAATGCTAGTTTGTAAAACTTTGCTCATTGTGCAAAAGCTGTGTTTATTACACGGTGGAATATCCAGACAATTCTACACAATGATACAATAAAATACAATAAAACACAGGAAGTCCAGTGATATCAAACCTTTGTTTTTGTACTCAAATGGCAAAACAGGAATTCAGTTTTCATCACCAAACAGATTAAATGTAAATATTTATAGATTTTTTTTTTCTACACTCATAAGAAATGGCCTGTGTGTGTGTGTGTGTGTTCAGGCATTAGAGGAGAACCTGAACAAGCTGATCCAGCATGCTCAGATCCCCCCGGAGGACAGTGAGATTATCACCAACATGGCTCACCTGGGCGTCCCCATCGTCACAGATGTAAGACCCTCATTGTTCAAATATCCATCATCTTTTTCTTCTGTTCTTTTCTCATATCTCCCTTGTTCTTTTAGTCTGTCAGACTTTTATTTTCTGCTTTCCATCATCACCTTCACTGTGATGTGCCATCTCCCCTTCTTCTGTAATGTATCATCTCCTTTTTTTAATGTCATAATAAACTCACAGAAAGTAAGATTCTACCACTTAAAGAGTCACATTGGTGGTCTTGCTGTTGTTGCAGCCCCATTTACTACAAATGGATACCTTACATCCATTTTCCACATTGTAACAACGTAGTTTTTGAGTTGAGCAAAATATTTTGCTTAACTTTCCAGTTGCCCTGTTAGGAAAATCAAGAAATGATAAGATATGTTATGTGCCTCAGTGAAATGTGGGTGCCTGTTGTTACAGGTACTGCAAAGTCTGGTGATTCTGGTGGTTATTTATAAACTTTTCTCCTTTTCACCTCCTTGTCTCTTCTGTCCTTCATCAGTCCACCCTCCGCCGAGGAAAGAAATTAGACAGGAAGGAGCGTGTGAGTGAGCAGACCTACCAGCTGTCCCGCTGGACACCACTGGTCAAGGACATCATGGAGGTATGTTTGCAGCGTTGTTTAAGACAAAGGAGGGTTTATTTAACTTGCCATTTGGCAGACATATTGAGAGTTTCCATGTTCACTTTCAAAAATGTCCACTGCAGATGGGATTTTTTTTATCAGTCAGTCCTAAATCCCAACACAGTAAACCATGTGAGCAGAATCATTTACTTCTGTAGTGACTTATGGCAGTGATCAAACATCTGGTTTTTTCAACCTGGTTGTTAATTTAGCCCCTTTTTTATGGAAGTGCTTGGATCTCCAGGTTAAAGCCACGAGTGGTTGCTGAGACACAGTTGTGCCCCTATTCAAGCATGTTTGTGTGTGTGTGTGTGTGCATATAAAGCAAACAATATTCCTGGCAAATCTATTTTGTTTCTTTGTCCTTCTACAGGATGCTATTGAGGATAAGCTTGACACCAAGCACTACCCTTACATCTCCACCCGCTCCTCTGCCTCCTTCAGCACTACTGCAGTCAGGTACACACACACACACACACACACACACGCACCTATACAGTATATGTGAACAACATGACATCTTGATGCCTGGTAGTCGCACTTTTTAAATGACAAAAACAAAAATAGAATGAAAAGTGATTTGGGAAGGCAGATGAGTCTAAACAATTAGGTTAGTGAGATGCTAAACAGATCCTGCAAGGGCAGGAGACACACCATACAATATATCAGCTCCTGAATATGTTTACAGAGAAAGGGCATCAATACAGGAGGCACCGGGAAGAAGTCTGCACATTTTAATGCTGATTAAATTTTAAAAAATGACTTTATTATCCAATAAAGAATAAAGACTGACCTGAGAGCAAGTCATCAATATTTGCAGCTCCACTTCCATGAAAATGTGTGTCTTTGTCTGTGCAGATGAGTGGTGAAGCCCTACACTCCGGTCTGTGTGGAGGCTGCTGCTGTGTTCAGCATCAAATCCTCTCCTGTTACAAACTGATACCCCTCATTTGCTGTCCCTGCCCCACAGACACACTCAGAACTGAGGAACATGTCAGTATATGTAGTATATGTAGGCCAGAGAAAGGAAAGCTAATGATAAAACCCCTAACGTTGGAGTCTTTTTTCACATGTGCAGGTGAAAATTTGGCTTCAGCTCTGGTTACTTGGTTTCTGTTTAAGCAAATACAGTAACGCAGTCTCTTTTTTTTGGCCTCATGTCAAGACGTTAGCCACATGTATTATAAAGAAACTGAAGATGCTTTTAGTTGCCTCATATTTGTGTCCTGTTTTTACCAGTGCCTCCAAAACATTTGTCACCTGTGACCAGTTTGTGGCAGGTAAAAGCACAATATGCAGTGATGGCAGGTGGTCTGTGTCCAGCAGAAGAAAACAACATGAACAAAATGTCTCACCTCTGCTTTTTCATCTCAGTGTTAACAAATTATGCTTAAGTTGGTCTTTATACTTTGCCTCATCTTTTGATAATGTTGGTGGCCTAACATACGAGTCAGAAATGCTACATCCAGTAATAATGAACATCATGTTTGGTTTCATGGATGGAGACAAAAAAAAGAAGTGTTGGGGAAGAAGATGATTGTGGTTTAAGTCACAAATAAATACAGAACATTAACCCAAAAATATGAAATGTGTTTTAATAGACACCCACTGTGCATTCCTCCATTAACAATACTGCACAGTTGTAGCATCTTTTCAGGAATATGTTGTCAGTAATTTTATCTCAAAATGATGCATACGTTCACCTGAGCAGTGTCTGCAGACTGCCAGGGTGTATGTACGAGCTCCAGCAAGTTCCACTGCTGGATTTTGGAAATCATTCTCAATTCACAGAATACTGTTGTGACAGATGGGGTAAAAGATTAAGATGTTGAGTTAATAAAAAAATAAAAAGAAGAATAACACAAAACCTTTTCCTGTTTGCTTGGGCAGTGCTCGCTATGGCCACTGGCACAAGAATAAGACACCTGGAGAGTACCGCACTGGACCACGTGTCATAGTCTTCATCATTGGCGGTGTGTCCTTCAGTGAGATGCGCTGCGCCTATGAGGTCTCACAGGCCAATGGGAAGTGGGAAGCCGTAATCGGTGAGTAGTGCAACAGGGGGCGCCACTGGGCGCAGAGCGAGAAGAGGTTTTCGTTTAGGCTGCTCAAAGATACACAGAGTTGACGTACCTCTGAGTGGACTTGTTTCAGAGAATGTGAAAGCTGATTAAAGCCACATCCTAATCGAGGGCCATGTCCTCAGAGGACCGCGTGAGGTTGGTCTGGCAGTTCTAAGTCCAGTCTTGTCTGAAGGACAGCATCTGAGCCAGAACCCAGCTAAAAAACACAGTACAGATAGAGGGAAGGAGATACGTGGAGGTGAACTGACTGAACAGTCTAACCCCGAGGGAGGGGTGCAAATTCAGTGCATAAAGAGAAACATAAACATATTTACAGCATATTTGACCTTAAATCAGTGTCACATGAATCACTCAAACCCAATACACTTGAACTTTTTTAAATACAAAAAGACAAATTGTGACTTTAGATTGAGGTTTTGCAAACAGAACAAACTTCTGTGCAGCACAGCTCATGTAGGAACCGCAGTATTCCCTTGAAGACTTTCATGGACCCAGATTATTGAATCCCACATTACACACCATGACCACAATAATCACACTGAAGTAGTTTAAGTATAATCACATGTAAACTATTGCGAGGGTCTAGCTGCAGTTACTGCCTGCCTAATGTGTGTCATGTGTTTGGTTAAAATAGCCCTTTATGTTATACCCCTCTGCACTGTTTTCTCGATGTCTTACGGTTTTGACAGCCAGTCTGTGTTATCTATGGGAAAGTGTCTTTTTAGTTTTGTTGTGCTCTGCTTCAGCTGTTGTCTTTCAGAACAACTTTTGTCTTTAAATTGAAGCCACATCATGTCTTTCTGTGTCTGTCACGGTTTTTTTGTGCTTGTGCAACGTGGTGACTGTGTATGTAATATGTGAGCTGTCAGTGGGTGAATGTGTGTGTGTGTGTATGTGTGTGTGTGTGAGAGAGAGAGAGACAGACAAGTGGCTTGTTTTAACCCCTCTGTTTTTGGAGAGTGGCACTGAGGGTGTGGTATGTGCTGAGAGACGAGTGGTGAAGCCACCTCTGTTCCTCCACAGGTTCCACCCACATGCTCACCCCTACCAAATTCTTATCGGACTTGCAGCACCCCGACTTCCGAGAGTCCACTAGGGTGTCCTTTGAGGACACAGACCCCTCAGCCGAGTGAGGCAGAGACAGCTTGGGAGGGAGGGAGAGAGAAATCACACTGAAAAAAGTAAAGGCAGCCGCACAAAGAAGCCCTTTCTGAACCTTCACAGCACAAGGGCTTCCTCCATGTTCCTTCTTCTTCTTTGAACACTCAGTACTTTTCTATGTAACTCCACCCTCCTCCTCCCCATGTCCCTCAGGGATGGGCAGCCAAACCTTTCCTCACTGCATGGACCGCTCCATCAGCAAGGCTGAACCCAAATGTCCAGACTATATTGTGGACTTAATGTTTCGGATGTGACAGTCTAATTTCCTTCAAAGCAGTCACGTATGCTGAGAAGTTATGCATCATGTAGAAACAATACTTAACATAGTAGAAACATACACTGAGAACAATATTTAAATATGTATCAAAGCAGTGACCTGTATAAACTTGATGTGATGATGGCGAACACGTCTTAGTACCCTTACCCTGGGACCCTGTCTGCAAAGTCTGGTGGGTGGACATTCAGATTCAGCTGAGTGGCCATGCCTGAGAAGGTTGTGACTCCATTCCTGTTGCCTTCTCCCATCATCTCAGCTGGGTGGATTAAATCACCCCTTGGCAGCCACCCAAAGGCCCTGTGAGCCTCTTGAACACTTCAGATTTAATCTACCCCCAATATCCATCTTTATCAGTTTTTACTGTCTGATTATTTTTCTAATTAACCCTTTGCAGAGACCTTGATGTGCTACTGGTTTCCTTCAGGACAGGTTCTTGAGTTGATTTTGGATTTCAAAGAAGGATTCTTTCCTTTTTTCTTCTTCTTCTTTTTTATAATTTATTTTTGTTTTTGACCCCCAGTCCTCTGACTTTTTCCACTGTCACTCTCTCTCAGCCCACCATCACATCTTGACATGCCTCATGGCTTGTCTGTAGAGGACAATAAGAACGGATCATCATCATCATCATCATATTGAAAGGCTGCTGACACACTGGGCAGTTTTGGTTCTAACAAAAGGGAAATCAGTTTCAGTGGCCTTCAGTCCAATTGCCCAAAATGCTGCCCTTTGTATCAGCGCCTCTCTGCTGACAGTCTGACAATGTAACATTCTTCCACCTGATATGCTTTAGCGACCTAACTAAAAATATGCCCTCAGTGCAGGAGATGCTTCATTTCTTCCCAAACCCATGTTTTACAGCAGTTACTAGCAGAGTGTTAGTATTCGCTATATTTTTAATTCCTCCAAATGTCTTATTTTAATCAGAAAATGTAGGTGTTGTAAATAGACATATCTTTGAACATGCTCAGGGCGGCACATGTGTCGTGTAAATGCGTTGGCAACTCCACAATACAGAGTTTATTTAAAATACACTGGAAGCCACTTAAAGGAAAACTATGGAATATGAAAATGAAATATTTTGGGGGGATTTATCCAAAAATGTACTAAATTTGTTTTGGAGGAGGTTGTAAATATTAATAATACATATAGATGCTGTAGTGTAGTCCTGGGCATCCTTCTCCTTCCTGACTAATCTGCTAAAGCAATATCATTTTATGGTTTTGTCAGTAAGCAGCTCTCACCATAAGCAGAATGTGTGCCCTCCCACATACTGCTGCATTTAACACTTCCTGAGTCAAATGGCCATCACTTTCTAAAAACTAGTCCTTTTTTTTGTTGTGTTTTGTTTTGTTTTGGTCTAAACCTGGCCAATAATTTGGTGGCAATAGAGATCAACATCACAGTGTTATGTTTCTGGGGCGAAAAGGCCCACGAAGCTGTGTGTTTGGAGAACAGCAGAGAAGCAGGCAAGGCCCGTCCGACGTTGACCTCTATGACCCACACTAAACCCCTACCCACAACCCCTGAAAACCACCACCCCTGCATCACCATAACCTCCCAACTTTAGATGGGCTTGCCTCTTTCGCTTCTGTTTTTACCTTCAACTACTTCTTGGTCTGAACCCTCGTAGATTTATGTGAAGGTGGATTTCCTTGATGATAAGCAGCGAATCAGACCAAACTGAAAGAAACATGCAGCTTTGCAACAGAAACAAGCTACAACGCACAGTAGGTCACAAACCGTTGATAATGTTGAACAGGTGTGTGGAGTGAATCAAATCCTCTGTTAACCTTTTGTGTGATCAAATTTCTGACACCAGTAATCCACCTGTAAATCTGAGAAAGAAGCAAACAACAAATGTTTGGTCTACTCCAGTCAGCACCTTTCAAGTTTTAGACTGTGTGAAATGTGTCTTCAGCTGTCACAAGGGTTACCGAGTTTCACATTTTCATTCATATTTATGGTAGATAACTGTCTGGATTTCATGACATGTGGAGACGATCTATTTTTGTCTATTTTTTTTTCTCCTTTGTCAGCAGTATTTGTCAGCTGTCTGCATGTCCTTTAATTAAAAGCTTTCAGGTTGTAATCATGTGCACATTTTTCTGACACTTGATTGGCCGGGCTGTGCAGGCAGGTTTGGTGTAAGTTCGCTACCCCATCTGTTGCTTTCGGCTCACAAGTCATGACAGTTGTGTGGTGCCATCACTGGTCTGTGCACTTCCATAATATTTAGCTGCATGCGCTTTAACACAGCTTCAGGAGTTTGTATTAGCCTTATGTTTGTAGAGTAACATGGTACTACTGCAGCATTAAAACATTTCAAATCTAAAACAAGAGCTGATTAGATGAAAGTGAAAATGCCCAGATTTTCACATCTGAGGTTTTCCACAGTGCCTGGAGAATCTTGCATGAGTTATATCCTGCTTTTAGATTGAGTACATGTTCCTCTACAGGTTGACAAAATGTTATACATTAATGTCCAAAATGATGTCTTAAACTCACTGAAGCACAGTGATTGTGAAGAGATGGGAAAATATGAAGATTTTTGGAGCCAACAGCAACAAGCTATTTTTGACCTCTTCCTTTGAATGCCAAATACTCAGCACACTAAAACCTTTACTTGAGTGTAATAGAAATGCCTCCCACCATGGTCCATTTAACCTGCTGACTTGCTGAGTAGGATTTCATAGCTTTCACTCAGTGTTTCTGACTTTACTCTCAACAAGTGGTGGAAGAAGTACTCAGATCCTTTACTTAAGAAGTAAAAGCAATACAACAGTGTAAAATACTCTTACAAGTAAAGGTCCTGCCTTCAAAAAGCTGCTTAAGTAAAAGAACAAAATTACTAGCATGAAAACAAAGTACTAAAAGTAAAAGTACCATTATGTCTAATGGCACATTTCATATTCCAGTATATTACATTATCATATTACTGATGCATTATTGTGTACATGAACATTTAATGGTGCCACTGGTAAACAGAGAGCTAGTTTTAACTCATTTGTATGCATTTAATTTGCTTGTGAATTTTCCAACATAGGTCAGTGAGGTCTTATGATTATACTTAGTTTTTTTGTATTTATCTAGTTCAGAAACGTTTCTAGTAACTAAAGTTGTAAATTAAATGTAGTGGAGTAAAAAGTACAATATTTGCAACTAAAATGTAGTGAAGTCAAAGTAATGGAAAATGATAATACTCAGGTAAACTACAGGTATCTCAAAACTAAGTATAGCACTTGAGTAAATGTATTTAGTTACTTTCCACCACTGGTTTCAACATTATGTGAGACCACTCTCATCTACAGTAGGCATTCATAGCAAGAGCTGAAAACACATTTTTCATTAGTTTCTTTCCAAAGTTGCAGATCTAATGCTGTGTGTGTTTCATATGTGTGCATCTCCAGGATCGACCCACATCTTCACCCCCACCAGCCTGCTGGAGCAGCTCAAGGCCATGAACAAACCAGACGAGGAAGTGACCAGCTAAAATCTCTCTCTTCTTAACTTTGCCACAACCCCCTAGCCCCTTGGCCCCTAGCCCCTTGGCCCCTGTCTCCTTCACCCAGTCGTATCCATTAATTGTGTTTGCATCTTGCTTGAGAAGAAAAACAAAAAAGACATCTTAGATGATAAAAAATATGTTGTCAGAGCAAAATCATTGCAAGTATTCTCATGTTTTACAATGGATGCAACTAAAATTTATTTATGAAGGTTTAAATATCAGAAAAGGTCATTTAAAACTAAACGTACCAAAATGTAATATTGTATGCTATGAAACCTGCTAGAACGTGTAAAAAGTAGGCATTTTCTCTTGTTTGTTCCTTTGGGTTACCTCCTTGGTATGAGTTCTATTGGAAGCAGGTGGAGGAGGGATGTGCAATTTGAGAAGTTGCTTTAAAATATATCAGCCAACATGCAATATAGATACAGTATATACTGTAGAAATGTATTTCATCGCAGAGGCGTTGGCTCTGCCCATGTGAGATGTTCCTGTTCAGTAGCATGCTTGGACTTGTGTGGATTGTTTATGCGTTTGTATCCAGTGTGGATGTTCTGAGAGCTGCAGAGTTAGCATTAGCTCATGCCTAAGATGTTTGAATACTCTGAATATCTTCATTTTAAGTATTCAAAAATGTAACTGCTTTCAAATGCTCTCATTAGTCCTTCCTTTTAAATGATTACTTTAAGCAAATTCTAAAATTGTATTAATTATTTAAGAAATAATTGTGTATGTGGAATGTGGTTGTGGTAAAAAAAAAAAGTATCACATATGAAGTTTGCTTTTTAAGATATATTTCAATGGAAATCTAACTTTGGTGCATAGTTAGCTCATGTTTTGACAGCTGGAAATGTGGACTATATCACAAGAATGGTTTCAGAAGTTTCTGTGGATGTTTGAGCACTTTTTTTTGTGAAACCACTATATCAAAGCTACTCTATGGTAAGCTGTCAGGTTCAGTTAGTGTGCGGGTTAATGCGTTCAGCCCAACGGTTTGCCATAAACCTTAGCTGTCCGCATTGCAGCTTGTAACTCGGCAGCTGCTGTGTGTTTGATACTTAAAACATATGCTACATTTTAGGCAAAGTACTTGTTTACGATGCTTGGTTGAGCTGACGATGAAAGGACAAAGCTCTGTAAATAAAGCTAAATAACGACTCATCCCTCCTCCGGCTGCCTAGACTGTAAAGTATGTACTTGCCGTAATCTTTTCCTTTCTCTGGAGAAATTTCACGTTATATTGTCAAAAAGGCCTTTGCTTGCTGATACTTAATGAGTAATCTTAAAAAGGGCCAGTTGTATTTCAGTATTGTATTCCTGTCAGATTAAGTCTCATTGTTATTTGGCCTTGCATTGAGTAGTGTTGTGTATATGCCATATGTTGCTGTTTTAGCGTCTCATTGTTGACTGGTGATATTTCTGACTGTGAAATAGTGATACTTTTCCTTTTAAAAAAAACACACCAATGTGAAGCCACTGTGTCTGTGAAGTTTTAGCTGTAGCTGTTAGTGGTCAGCTGGGACAAAGAACTAATCTATATTTTCTGTTTCCTTCTCTGGTGCAATGTAAAACCCTCCAATGATGAATGTCTTTGCAAAAATACTTAAACCCCCTCCTCACTTTAATTTCCTCTCTCCCCTCTTTCCTGACCAAACAAGTTGTATATTGCACTATAATGTGTTTCCTGTGATGCAAATGCTTTTTACTTTTCTATTTTATTTTTTTTTTTGCAGATGTATAGGGTTTACTCTGTCAAATCAGTTGATTTATAACAAATTATTTATCAGAGAAAAACAAGATGAAACATTAGTCTGTCCTAAAACTAACTTATTGGGATTGTATGTTTGCCAGTGTTGAAGCACAAACAATATGTGTATCTTATATGTACTAAGGCTGTCTAATAAATTGGCTTCCATTACATGAAAGACCCAACTCATTTTTTAAAATGTCAATAGGTTGGAAAGTTAAGGTTCACATAGTGGAGGGCGGTCCTGGAGGTTTTGTTGGCAGGCAGGTGGGCGGAGCCTGAGACGGACGGTCGAGATCTTGGTCCACTGCATAGCCAGGTCCAGTGAACCTCTGGAGCTGAAGAAAGGTGTGACTGCACTAGCGACAGGTAAGTGGGTTGTAAATGGCAACTTTTGGCTTATGCATGCTACCTTGGTGTAAAACGGCACAAATGCTAGTGTTAGGTATTTTTGATTTGATTTGATTTATTCTTTCAAGCATGTAAAGACAGTTGATATGTCAACACACATAATTTTACACATATCCAACAAATGCTAATCCAATATCCATTTGCTTATACCTAGTACATGCTTGTATGGAGTAGGAAGAAGTCAGACTTATCCAGTCCTACTCCATGACATCATCTTACCATCATTAGTTTGTAAGCAGTATCTCTACATAAATAATTCTCTTCTACACCACACAAGTAATATACTAAAAAATTATGACAGAGTGTTAACATTCTTACATAATTACATTCTTAAATAATTATCTTCTACACCACAAAAGTAATATACTAAAGAATTATTACAAAGTGAGCTGGATATTGTATGTGGAGTGCCTCAGGGTTCTGTTTTGGGACCAAAATTATTTATATTATACATTAATGATATATGCAAGGTTTCTGATTTAGTGAAAGTGGTTTTGTTTGCTGATGACACTACCATATGGGCATCGGGTGAAAACCTACAGCAACTCTCTGGACGGGTAGATAATGAACTTCAATTGAAAATTTGGGGAGCTAATATAGAACGAGTATATGAAATTAAATTTCTAGGTGTCATAGTTGATGACAAATTCTCCTGGAAATCTCATATCAGATATGTTCAGCACAAAATAGCAAAAGATATATCGATATTGGCAAGGGTTAGATATACTGTATTTTGGACGGGAAAGCACTACGCATTTTGTATTCCTCATTGATTTTACCATACTTAGAGTATGG